GTCTTTGGCTACAAGTATTGTTAACTAATAATAAGCTTTGAGAGATAGGCCCAGCACTCTTTTGAAAAAGTTGAGGATTCATTTTCCCCGGGGTTGCTACTGGCCATATTGCCACCACGGGGGGTGTGTCTGAGCACAGAACCTACAGGGAAGGAAGCAAAGTTGAGAGCCCGGGAGCAGGAGCTGACAATAGTACCTGTGCCTTGACTGTCAAACCAGAAGCCAGCTCTGCCCCCAAGAAGCACCCCATTTTTGCTTTAGCCAGTGTGAACTGGGCTTTTGTCACTTACAACCAGATAATTCTATCTACTCCCTCCTTACTCTCATAACTACTTAAATAGTTCTCTGGACTCAAGGGATCATTAACCAAGCACCAAGGAGATCACAGAAATGTGTTTGTTCTATCTGTCAGTCTAAATCCCTATCTAATTCAAATCTCAGTCTCAAATTCCTCAGGTTGCTGATTCATGTTTACTGAGCACTGACCATGTACAAAATTCTCCTGGGATCTGTGGGAAGCTCGATGACGGCGCCAGCCCCCACCACCCTCACAGACTAGTGAGAGAACTAAGAAGAGAACAGGGAAGGAACAGAATCTTCTGGATGGGAATCTGGGAAACCTTCATAAAAAGGAATTCACTGGAGATGCGCCTTAAAGGGATTAAGTGAGTCGCAGTTGATCTAGCCTAGAACCAAGTTCTGCCTCCTGGTCCGATATTCAGCTTACACCCGACAGCAGTCAGTAGTAATGCAAGGTCAGGCCCTGGAGGAGAAGGCCTGCTCCTGTTGGTCACCAGGCCCTGCTGATGGATAAGTGGAGCCTATGTACCGACAGGGGTCAGAAGTACATTGGAGGACTTGTTAAGACAAGGGCTACATGGCTGTAAATTCAGAGTATCCAGGAATCATAAAACAGTTGGCTATTATAGAATCATTACATGTCAGAGCTAGCAGGGACCCTGGGAATTAATCAGCCTGCTCATTTGACAGATGAGAGCCTGGAAAACTGAACAGGCCAAGGACTTGTCCAAGATCACTCCTGCAGATTCATTTCTAGGACCCAGGGCTCTAGGACTCTGACCAACTGAAAGGAGATGCCATTATTTCAACTCCGTTCCAGCAGGAGTGAGCAGAGGAGTCTGCAACTGTGTCTTGACAGATGCTGTCTTTCATCTCGGATGGTCTCCTGTGCCTTCTTGCTTCAGCACGCCCCTTGATTTTAGCAGGCACTGCGCCTCTTCTAGGGCTGAGTCACTCAGGCCGGAAGACTTCCTTTGGCTCCTTAGTCAATGACTGTTGTCTCATTGGCTTTCTAGCCAATAACCATAAAATCCCCGTAAGAAAGCCCCTGCTGAGGATGCACTCTTCTTGAGCTCCATGTGGGCTTCCAGTGAAATTGGATGCTGTCCGAGGGTGGCAGTTTGGGGGTTGGTTCCATTGCTTGCCAAGCCACTCCTACAGGGTCTCAGAAACATAATAAAGAGAAGAAATAATTATGCTAAATACAAAAAGCAACGCAGGGTGTATGCCTATGGAAAGCTTTTTTTCCCAAGGCACATGATGGGTCCCCGGGTAGAGCGAAGAGGGATTTGTCTTATTTTGTAATAATCTTTGCTCTCTCTGGTGCACTTTTATTAGTCACACCCATGACTCTTTCTAAAGCCTTGTGAAGAAGGAAAGACCGAGTTGTATTACCCCCATTTCCCAGATGAAGTAACTGAGACTCAGGGAGGGGACGCCACCTGTCCCCTCTCGCTCATCTGAGAAGTGGCAGAACTATGGCAGTCAGAACCCAGCCTGTCCCATGGGTAGCAAGCACTCATTTTACAACATCTGAGGGGGTCTTGTTCACAATCAGCTCTGTATCGCCGCGAGGGCTGACAAATGACGAGAAGCCAGGGGCTTCTGTACACGTGACCAGGGAGCTAGGGCAGGAGGTTCCTCTGTCCTCCATGAGCCAAACCTGACACTCAGAGCAAAGCCACTCCTTTTTTAGACCTCTGATATCAGTAAGAGGCCTGACTAGAGGTAGTTACATAATGGAAATTAGCAACTGGACGTTGGATGATGAACGAATGAATGAACAGATGAATAAATGAATGTGCTCATACATAAACTTAGTACACAAACCCTGATTACATTTCAGCTGTCACTGAGATCTCACTAGAGACCACGTCTAAGATCTGGTCTCTGCCCCAGAGCAACTCGCATTCTAACAGGGGAGCAAACAGTCATGCAGACAAATAAATGGCCACACCCGGTGACAGAAGCCAGAGTACGGCTAGGTAGATGTGCCCTGGAAGCCCAGAGCAGGAGGCTGTGACAAAACTTGCAGCCCTCTGTTGGCAGGAGCTTCCCTAGGGTTGCAGGAACCAGCATGACTCATCTTTGCCTCCCTATCACATATTCCGCCGGGAACATCCGAGATCACCAGTTGGTGCTCCCTGAATAAATTCTCCTTAAGAAGTCATGAAAGCTTCTGCAAGGTAGGTGACCTGGGCCATGTGACGGAGTCTGCAGCACTCTCAAGCTACCTGCCCCAGCCTCCGACGACAAGGACCCCAGCTGTCACAGCCTCCCCTGGGACCTGTGCTCAGATTCAGCTGGCCCCAGAGTCCTCTCTCACCTGCCACCATTATCTTAAATGGTGGAGTGAGGTCAAGGCACAAGGAACATCACAGTCACGGCAGCCCTGGTCATCCATCAGGGCTAGAACACCTCACCTTGAACTAGGGAGATAACAGAACAAAATAACACCTGACACAGCCTTATCACCTGATAATACAACCTCAGTTTTTCCATTAAAATTACTGAGAGCCACAGTCCTGTACTTCGGCTGATAAAGAGATCACAGGAAACAAAGCTATTAATTTTTATCTCTGCCCTGCAATAGCACATTTGAGTGAATACAATATAACCAAGGGGAAAAAATACTTTTTTCCTGACAGTGGAAGTTGAATATGAAATTTTTTTTGCCTCCCACCTTTCATTTCTCACACCTTGTTCATCTACAAGCCTCTAGGAATTTTTAATCGCAGATGTGTTCAATTGACACGGATCTGGCTATGCAATCCCCATTACATAAGGTTATAAATCTCTCTCTCCTTACTCAACCCTAATCCTTGGACGACTTGATACAAATATTTAGAGTACAATTTAAAGGACTTGAGCAGGAGGAGGGTATAGCTCAGTGGCAGAGCGTGCACAAGATCCTGGGTTCAATCCCAGTACCTCTGTTAAACAAATAAATAAATAAATAAATAAATAAATAAATAAATAAATAAATATCTAACTACTTTCCCCTCCACAAAAAATAAAAATAAAATGGCCACAAAATTTTTTTTTAATTAAAGGACTTGAGCCAGTTGGTTGCCTCTCTAGCCCTCAATATTCCCATCTTCAAAATGGGGAACTAGACAGTTGGTCTCCATAACCGCTTCCAACATCAGTACTCCAGGATCCTATGACTAAAGAAGACACAGAGCAGATCAGCTTTGATGACAACAGTACTCTTTCTAAGCACAAAGGCTCTCAGTAGATAATGGTAGAACCAGGCAACCACCGCCCCTGCCCTGGGCCCTATACCTTAGGGCCCCCTCCGCCTCCCCAGCTCTCGCCTTCCTTACAGGGGAGAGGTCGTGTGGCCATGAACCAAGGGGCTCACATGCCCCTTCCAGGGCAAACTCTGGGTACCTGGACCCTGACATAACCTGTGCAAATAGCCTGTGCAAAGTTCGCTTCCAGGCCCTATCTGGTCTCTCCCCAGCTCTTCAAACCCAGAGCAGATCACAGCCCCAGAGACTACACCCCTAGGACTGGGTGTGGTCCAGGGATGTGGGCGTGATTGATGCTCTACCTCCACATCCCACCTTTCCCTGTCCTCAGGAATACTTAGGTAAAAAAGTTGGCAAAGTGTTTGTCTTTGGGGTGCCAAAGCCCATCAGTGCTGGTGTGTAGCAGGGTGGGGGATGGAAGGGAGTGGGGAGGGGTGGGGGCGAGGGAATGACCAGCGGCCTCCATTTGTACCCTTACCTGGCCTGCACGTGCTGGGGTGGGGGACTGTCTGCCATGGAACAGGCTGTGACGGATCCACGTTGGGGAAGGTGGCAGGAAGAAGAGTGGGCCGCCAAGTGGAGATGCTCTTCCCAAGCGGGCACTTCAGAGGCCTGCAGGCACACCAGGCTCCTTCCCAAGCTTGCCCCAGGCTTGTCCTCTAGAGAAATTTGGTTTTACACTTTAAATGTGAGTCTTAGTGCCTCATCCTCTTGCTCTGTCTCAGAACTGGGTTCCTTATCATTGAGACCCTATTTCTAAAAAACAAAAAACAAAACTTGGAGAGATCTTATAGTAAAAACACCAGATGGCTAAATATACAGACGTGCCACTCTATGAAAGAACGGAGATAATCATGCCAGGAATCATGGATTCAATTTTTACTAAATATAAGAAAAAAAGAAACAGCTCTTGAGCCTCCTAACTGCTAAGGCAAAAATAGAAAAGTCATGAGTTACCTGGCTTTTACCATGTGATTAAAAGTACACCCATTCTTCAGAGGAGACAAATTTCTCTCGGTCAGAAAATTTGAGAAAAAGTTTTATCATCTGCATCCTTATATAGGAGGCGGTAAGTAACATAAGGGACAAAATCTTCAACAGTGGTTTTGCAGGCAATGCAGAATCATTCCCCACACAACCATTTATTATACTGACACTTGATAAAAATCTGAGGACACGATTTTTTTTTTAAGTTGTGAAGTCATTGCTACAGGAACCTGAGTTAATATCATCTAAGTGACCAAAATGGATATAAGAATATAACTCAGAAAAAAGCAAAAGAATGAACGACTTAAGCAAACACTTCTCAAACTTCTCCATCCAGGAGAAAAGCACCCAATGGCAGAGAAGGTAGAAGTCCGCCCTGTGGGATGTGGAGGTAGAGGACCAGTCATGCCCTCCTCCACCTCTGGAGCAAAGTCAAATTCATCTTTAAAATGTATTCAATGTTAGCTTGCTACTTGATAATAAATTTATCCTTATTTAATACAAAACTAATTTCCCCCAAATCTTTGCTGAGGTTGGCATCACTATGGCTTAGAGGATTCCCTGGAACTCACGAGTATCCCAGGTGTTTGGAAAACCATGACTGACACGCATTGTCTCTTATTTATTCTGTATAACAAACTGATGAGGCAGGTATGGACCATTTTCACGAACGTTGAAGTTGAACAACAGAGAGATTAATTATCCCAGTGCCGCATGGCAACCAAATACATAACGCTTAAATGAAACCCAGATCTCTTGGCCGCCAGGTCAGTCCTTTTCCTCAGCATCCCTAATACAATTTTATCATTTAGGAAATAATCCTGGAACGAACTGGATGGTCCAACTATGGTTTCTGATGTTGCATTATTGAAGCACAATACCTACCTAGCCTACAAGACCACCCAGGCTTCCAATGTCCCTCCATATTCCACTCTGACATCAATAGGTGTCTCAGATTCATTGCCAGATTCCTCCAGAGGATGAGTCATCCACGCTCAAGTTTTCCTCTATAATCAGCTCATACATTATCGACTTCATGAGGCTGGAGCAGGAGAGGAGAGAAGAGTTATTCCCCAGGGCTCTCCAGCAGATGTCCAAACTCTTACAACAGTGATGGTAAATTGTCTCTTCTCCATGAGGCAGAGGCAGGGCAACCATCTGAAAGCTCCACGATGCAATGAGAGGTCTGGAGACCTGGGTCCCGGTCCTGACTCTGCCACCAGAGGCTTGTGGGAAAACCATATAACCCATTGGTGCAGGGTGTGCCAAGGGGTGATCATGAGAAACAGTGAGATAATGTCTGGGAAGCCCTTTGAGCTTCTCAGAAGCAAGAGGCAACATAAACACAAGGTGTTATTACCTCCAAGCCCACAGCAGCCAAGGACATCAGAGTTGTGATTCCTGCAGAAACCTCCTCTCTCCTTGGACCTGAAAGGACCAGTTGATCCTTCAGCTTCTCATCCAGCTGAAATACCCAAGCTCTGGTGGACTTGGTGGAAGCTGACCATCTGGTTGAAGATAAGGAGTGTTGTTGAAGTGAACATCTCGATTTTTTTAATCACAGACCCTCACAACTGAAAAGGATATTAACAATTTAGCTCCTGATTCTATTCAGAGGAGAAGCTGAGTCCAGAGAGTTCCATACATAACATTCCCTGAAAGCTTGCTGGATGTTAGATAGATGCTGGGTGAGAAGATGACTGGGATCTGGTCCTTGGCATCACAGAACTCTCCACCTATTAGAGAACACAAGCACATTCACAATCTGTGGACGATGTCACATGAGCATCATTGCAAAGTGCCACCAGGACTGTGACAATGATTGAGCTAAAGCTGTCCTGCAGCTATGAGTCCTTGGGCAAATTGTATCAACTCCAAGGCTCAGGAAAACGGAGACACGAGTGATGACATCACTCTCTAGCCTTTTTATCATGTTTGACAGCTCCCTGATAATTTCATAATCACTGCCTGATTTAAAACTTACACCAGAGTAGGGAAGGAAGCATTATGATTAGCTCTTCCCTCTAGATCTGGAGTCCCAGGCATGGGGCCCTGACCTGACTGTCAGATGGATCATCTGGAAAAGAACCAGGAAGGTAACTAGACTCAGTCCCCAGTGGCCTGCCTCTTTACAGGTGAACAGCGGTGATCTCTGAGTTCCTTCTAGCATTACAGTTCTACAGATCTACAAATTCATCAAAGGTGGACGACTACCTGGAACTAAGGAGGAGGCTTTGGATAAACATTCATAAGGATCAGAAAACTGAAAAGAATCAGCATTTTTTTTCCCTCTAAACTCAGCTATCAATCAAAGATTTCTTAATTCAAATGACTGAATATGTTTTAATAAGAACCTCAAAGTATTTTATATTGTAATCACTTAAATTACACAAATAGAACGTGACTATGTTTTTACTGCAGAAAGTTCAACTATCTAAAAGCAAATGTCCCTTTGACTGTCCCTCCTGATCCCAGTCCTTACTCCCTGCTACTCCCCAATCTTCTTTCTCCTCCTCCTTGTCCCCTTCCCCTCACTGCTACCGTTAGTGCTGTCAGTATCATTTTAACCCTTCACTTTATGCAACTAATTATATGTGCAGATGGAAAAACCTCTATGTGCTTTGCGGTTTGTTTCTCATATAAATGTTCTAATGGTATATACATCGTTCTATAATTTTTTTTTTGTATTTAACACATAGTGGCGTTCTAGCTTTGTTAGCTGCAAGTGTTAGACATTACCTGACTTTTACAAGGTGAATAAACTGATGCTCAGTGAGGTAGGTTCCATATTTCCAGGCACCAAGAAAGCTCCTCATGTAACTACAATAGCCCCTGTTTTATGTTGGGATATGTTTAGTCCGACTTTCTTAGCAACCTGAAAAATCAAGCTTTGAATTTTGTTTATTTTTCATTGGTTGATTGGTTTTGATTTTTCTTTGTTTGCATATGAAGAATAAGACATGGGTTAGCTCAGCTGGAGGCTGTGACATTACCTAAACTCTGGCCCTGCATCCTACCCAAGGAAACGCCCCAGCCTTTCCTGCGTTCATGTCTGCTGTCACAACTGCACTGTTAGCCAGAGAGCAAAGCACTCCCTAATTTGAGGAGATGGAAGAGTTGAAACACAATAGACACAACAACTTATTATCTGACATGGGAGCCCTGTGGACATGGGCACAGAGGACATTTTTCATTTTGTGAACCACTGAGCCCCATTTCCCTTTCTGGGCAGCACCCCACTCTCAATCCAAAGGGTCTGAGTGGGCCCCACCCCACGTGGGGTGAAGCAAATGGCCCAAGCCTGCATCCCTTCACACCTTACCGTCTCCGGCCCCAGTGATTGGCTTACAGCAGGGCACGGGACACAAGAACCCCAATCAGGATGAATCCTGGGATTTCTGCAGACAAAATAGGGACAGGAAGCGTTCATATTTCCCCATGGTACATGATCCTGAAATTTCTGGTGGCTCTCTTGAGGGAAAAGAGGAGACCTAAGAGATGCAGAGAGCAAAACTGGATCCCAAGAAGCCTGCCGGTGCCAGAGGTCCTCCTGGATGTCCCAGTTACAGAACCTCATAAATCCCCCTGCACACACACACACACACACTTTTTTTGGCACTGTGAATCCAATGTTCTATCCTTTGTGATAAACGGCACTAGTGGAATCGCACATGCACACTTGTGCTCAGTGTTCCACTCCGTACCTGGAGGGCAGCACGGGGTCATGGCTGAAACCCAGGCCTGGAAGGCAGGGGGCCTAGGTCTTCTCTGGCTTGGTCTCCTTGGGCATCGATTTCCATGCCCAAAAGGGGGGTTGGACAAACAAGCTCTGACACTCTCTGAATCTGTAAACCTGAAACTCCTGGTGCTCTTGCAACCATTGGAAGCTGAGAGTGTTGGCTACTGACTCTTGGAAGCCTTCCGTTCATTGTGTTGAAAGAGGGCTTAAGTGGCCCCCAACGGAGGGGACCTGAAGAACATTAAACAATCAGGTTCCTGTGTCTCCACCAGAATTGGCTCCAGAAGAGGGTCAGGCTTTGCAAAAACACAGAACATTCTTCCCTCTGGGCTCCTTGGGAAAAGTTCTCAGCACGATGGAGGGTGTCTCTCGCTATTCATGGCCTGCCAGTGGGAACAGCCAAGAAGGAGAAGAGGTCACATGGCCAGGCTGCTGCTGGCACAGTGTGTCCTATGCAGCCGATGGCTGGGCGAGAAAGAGGGTTGCCCGATCCCCTACTAAGGCGTCCTGTGAAAGGTGGGCCCAGGAGTTGCCAAAAGACCCTCTGCACCAGTCTCTACAAAGGCTGCCAGCAAGCAGGACTCATGTTCAGCAGTCGCTGCTTGTCTCTTCTGTAGGAAGCACTTTCATATGCACTTTTTTTAAAACCTCACAACAACTCTCTTGCCCCCGAATAACACCTCCACTTTAAAGTTATAGAAACTGAGGCTCAAAGAGGTGATGTTCAAGTAACTGGCCCAGGGATCTAGAGCAGGAGGCACAGTTAATTTCATCAACCGAGGGCAAGCTAAGAACCTGCAGGACTTCTGCCTCGGCTTCACCCGCCCCTCCACCGTGCTGCAATCAAGACCCACAAACAGGCAGGTCAGAAGCATGTGTTCCAGTCACTGCCCTTCTCCCAGCTGCTTTTGTTAACATTCTAGGACACAGTGTTCTGGCCATTTCTGTGTATGTCACTTCCCTGACTGGACTGTGAGTTCTTCGGCAGGGCCTGTGTGATCCAGCTGTGTGGCTCCCACAGTTCTTGTGCAAAATAAGAATGTGAAATGCAGTCCATCTGTCTGGGGCCAGCCACTGACCCTAGAGCAGGGCTGGACTCAAGTGAGGGTCACCAGCTGGGTGTGCTGAGGGAGCCAGCAGGCAGAGGAAGAAACCCCAAGCCAGGTCTGAGTCTGAGACAGTAGGGAGGGGTGGGAGATTGAGGGAACAGAGCAGGACCTGCCGAAGACAGTCCGGTCCGAGAGTTTCAGCCATAACTCCACCCCTGAGCATTCAGCTTGGCACGGATTGATGAACATCCCCCAACACTGTCATACCAGTCTTCCCAGAGAAAGGCCACAGCTGCAGGGTTCCATACATGGTTCTCACCTAACACCCTATGGGGTAGACAATGGACATTTAATAAATGTTTGCTAAATAAACTTTAAAAGAATCTAATATTTACCCAAACCACCATAAGTCTCACTAAGCCAACAGTATGCTATTGACTCAGTTTCCACTGTTCTGGGAACCAGAATATTGATTACAGTGTTTGGCTGGGGAACCACTCATACCAGGTATCTACATGCCATAATACCTAGAAGAGCCCTTTAGAACAACAAAATGATTCACTGAGTGGTGTCCGTACTCTAAAACAAGAAATACATGTTGCTCCTGATTCTGTAGTATGTCCATCAATCATCCACTTAGTCAACAGCTATGGCACTGGGACCATAATGGTGAGCAAAACAGTGCCTTCCCTCAAGGAACTTATGGTCTTGTCATCAGCTAATCACATAAATAAATGTAAAGTCACCATGCAGAAAGTGCTCAGAAGTACACTGTGCTTTCAAAGGCATGGTCTGGGAGGACCAAGGAAGTGCCACGTGACCTGGCTAAAGAGGGGAAGGAACAGCACATAAAAAGCCCCCGGGAAAGAAGTGTAGCAAAGACAAGGAGGTGTAACACCAGAGTGGCTGAGCAGAGGAGGGAGCATATGGTTTAAGAGGCTGGTGGAGGTCAGACCATTCCAGGCTTGTAGGAAACAGTAAGAATTTTTACCTTTATTCCATGAGCATTTTGAGTTTGCTCTGGGAGTGGAAAAAAAAAAAAAGATTAGGAGTTGCCACAGTTCTCCATTCCTCTAACCTGGACCTCCTTCATGGACTGTCTGTTGCCCACTCCTCTTTATGGGATCCGTGACAAGGAAGAAGAGTTTTAAACTCTTTTGGATGGAAAAAGTTATTTCATTTTTAGAGTCTGAGCTACAAATGAGATTTCTCCTTCCAGGGTACCGTGACACTGCCACAGTAACACCATTAGACACCCTCTGGCAGCAGGGGGTTCAGAGCCCTACTGTCAGTTACTTCATGTCCAACATCACATAAGCCAGCACTTTTTCATCTTGTGGATTATACAGGCCACGTTTTAACCTGAAAAATATCACAGACGTCCAGTTTGATACTAGTTATACTTTCAAATTTTAATAACGCAATACCCTTTACATCAGCACCCCACAAAACTGAAACATTTAGGTATAAATTCAATAAAATATGTAAAACCCCTATATGGGGAAAACCACAGAACTCTGATGAAAAGAAATCAAAGGAGATCTAAATAAATGAAGAGATATCCCATGTACATGGATTAGAAAGCTCAATATTGTCAAGAAATTGGTTCTTCCCAACTGGATCCATAAAGGCAAAGCAATATCAGTCAAGGGATTATTGATCCCAGCAAGTTATTTTGTGGATATCAACAGAGTGATTCTAAAGTTTATATGGAAAGGCAAAAAAGATCCAGAATAACCAACACAATGTTAAAGAACAAAGTTGGAAGACTGCCACTACCCAACTGCAAGATTTACTATGAAGCCACAGTAATCAAGACAGTGTGGCACTGGCAAAAGAATAGACAAACCCATGGGACAGAAGAGAGAGCCCAGAAATAGACTCACACAAATATAGCCAACTGATCTTTGACAAAGGGGCAAAGGCAATTCAGTAGAGAAAAGACAGTCAACAAATGGTGCTGGAATAACTAACCGTCCACATGTGGAAAAAAAAAATTGACTCTAGATACAGACTTCGCATCTTCCCGCATCTTAACTCAAAATGGGTCATAGACATACATATAACTCAAAACCATTCAACTTCAAGAGGACAAGATAGGAGAAAATCTTGGTGACCTTGGATTTGGCAATAACTATTTAGCAACAACACCAAAAGCATAACTTGTGAAAGAAAAGATTGATAAGTTGGACTTAATTAAAATTAAAAACTTCTACTCTATGAAAGACACTGTTGAGAGAATGAAAAAATTAGCCACAGACTAGGAGAAAATATTTGCAAAAGATGGATCTGAAAAACGGCTGGTATCCCAGACATACAAAAAACTCTTAAAACTCAACAATTAGAAAGCAAACAACTTAATTTTAAAATGGGCAAAAGATCTGAACAAACACCTCACTAAAGAAAAAAATACGTATTACAAATAAGCATGAGAAAAGATGCTCAACAACATAGGTCAATAGGGAATTTCAAATTAATACAACAATGAGATACACTATACACCTACCAGAATTGCCTACATCCAGAACACTGAGGAGGTCAAATGCTGACGAGCCTGTGGAGCAACAGGAACTCATTCATTGTGGGAATGCAAAATGTATAGTCATGTTAGAAGATAGTTTGGCAATTTCTTACAACAATAATCATGCTTTTACCACACAATTCAGCAATCACATTCCTTGATATTTTCTCAGATGAGTTGAAAACTTAAGTCCACATAGACATGGATATTTATAGCAATCTTTTTCAAAATGGCTAAAACTTGGAAGCAACCAAGATGTTCTTCCTTAGGAGAATGGATAAACAAATTATAGCAAGCTATACAATGATATATGTTTTTTTAGTAATAAAAACAATGAGCCATGAAAAGATACAGAGGAACCTTAAATGCATATTGCTAAATGAGAGAAGCCAATCTGAAAAGGCTACGTACTGCATGATTTCAACTATGTGACATTTTGGAAAAGGAAAAACTGTAGATACAGTCAAAAGATCAGTGGTTGAGAGAAAGGAAAGGAGACACGAATTGGTGAAACAGGATTTTCAGGGCAGCAAAACTATGCTGTACGACACCATAATGGTGGATATGTGTCACCATACGTTGTACCCATGGAATACGCAACACAAAGGGTAAACCCTAGTGTACACTATGGACTTCAGTTAATCATAATGTATCAGTATTGGCTCATTAACTATAACAAATATACCACATTAATGCAAGAATTTAATAATAGGGGAAACGGGCGGAAGGGCAAAGGGGTAAATGAGAACTCGCTGTACTTTCCACTTGACTATTCGGTAAGACTAAAACTACTCAAAAATTGAGGTATATTAATTTTAAAATTCTTATGATGAATAAAATATGATGACCAAAACACCCTGGTTTTAGTAGCCTGGTTTTAAAATTTTTATTTGAATAATCACAATCGTGCCCACGTACACTTAAGAAATACAAGTACATATGAGTAAAAATATGCCTGTCTTTTGCAGTCTCTAGAAGATCTTGAGCACACACATGGGTTCGGAGATTCTCTTGCAATAACTGTATAGGCTTAAAAGAATCCAGAGTTTGGGTACCATTGCTGAGGTCTTCACAAACATTTCTTGATTAATGAATGAAACATGCTCCCTTGGAAGATAGGAGAATGCTAATTGCAGGTCAGCATTGATGTCAAATCTACCTTGACTCTGGGAGATTGTGACACCTTTCACATTGCATAGAAGGGAGGACTAGGTAAGAGATTGTGTGTAAAAGCATCTAGCAGAGTGCTTGGCACATCAGAATTGCCCAGAACTATTAACCAGATAGGATCCGGCACTGTGAAGGAGATCAAGCTGCAGGCGCTGGTCTGGACTGGCTGATATTCAATGTCTCTCCCACTTGGACTTGTGGCTCGAGCCCACCCCCTTTTCAATGCCTTGGGACCTCACTTCTGTTCCAGGTCAAGAGTTCTGTCACTATTAAGCTGGGTATGGGAAAGAGCTACAAATAGCAGTAGGAGAGATCTTGGGATGGTACCCTGTCTGAACCACTCTCCAGTTTGCCCTCGTACCCCATTTTGTCATGGGCACCTCAAGTATGAGACCCAAAGACAGAACTCTGGAGGAATTCAATATACCTCAGGGTTGAAGAAGAAACTAAAAGCTGTCTCGTCCCTGCATAGTGATATGACAGCTGAAAATTATTAAAAGACACTTCACTTTCAGAATAGTCTGGAGGACTGAAAGAATGAATCTATTATGGACAATAAAGCTTTCACTGCATTTATTCATTCACAGTATTTATTCAAACAGTATCAGCTTGGACGATGTGCAAGTCACTGACAGTGTTGGGTGCTGAGCTAGCTGGCTCTAGTCAGTGTGATAAAGATGTCCTTTCCATGCTGTGCCTTGAAATCTTGAAATACACGGGGATCCAACCATCCCCACCCTGCTCTCCTGCTGGCCCTGGAGTCTCTGCTTCCCCATTACTTGGGTAAGTAACTGATCCTACCTCTTAGAGTAGTGAAAAGCCTGGAAACAGTGCCGTGAGAAAAGTGAAACCGCTGAGGAGTTTAAGTTGGTGATGAAAGAACCCAGGAGAGACATTATCCTTGATTTCACAAATCTGAAGGACCATTACAGGGAAGGAGGGTTTGATTTTCTTGGTGTGGAACAAGTTAGTAAAGCAGTTGGAAGTGACAGTGAGACTTACATCATCTCAGCCAGAGAAAGATCTTTCCATCAGTGAGAAGCTTCTGAGTATGAAATAGACCGCCTCGCCAGGACTCAAGCTTCCCACTCCTGGAGGTGCTCAGACGTCAGGTGTTCAACAGACAGGGAGTTTGTAAGGGAGATTCTTTCAGCAAACTCGGAAAGAGTAGGATCTTAATGACTTTATTTTCACTCCAAATCTGTTTCT